CACCACGTTCTTCAGTCCCGGAATTCTTAACTGCGTGTGGCCGCTGGACGCAAAGTGCGAACACAACGCAACGACGAGACAGGACAGCCTTCTGCCACCGATATGCGGGCCGGACAGGTGTGAAACGGGGCTCAAGAAGAGAGATTACTCAGACTGTACGCATTATTTTATGTGCAATGGAACGTTTGAAGACCGGCGAGAATGTCCAGCTGGTCAACATTTTAATACGAGGAGCAATGACTGTGATGATCAGTGCACGGCGGGTTGTGAGAACCCGTGCACAATTCCGGAATGCCAGAATTACTGCAGATGTGACGAGAACACACCTCCGAAGGTAGATCCTTACGACTGCACAGTCTGCGAAGTTTGCAGAGGTGGCAAAATTGTGAAGGAGAGGTGTCCCTCAACAACATGTCGCACAAAGCCGTGCGATCGCACCAAACACCCTGAAGACTGCCAAGGTTTCTTTGATAACTGCACCACGGCGTGGACGAGGTGTGAAGACAACCTTCACTTCAACCCAGTAACACAGATGTGTGAAGATCCCTGCACAGTGGGGTGTAAGCCCCCTTGTGAAATTGCAGGGTGCGCGTGTCCATGTGACGAGAACACACCTCCGAAGGTAGATCCTTACGACTGCACAGTCTGCGAAGTTTGCAGAGGTGGGAAAATTGTGAAGGAGAGGTGCCCACTGAGTCTAAAGGACACATGTCCAGAAAGTAAGTGCTGTGAACTCAGAAGACACGAAACAGATTGTCATTTATACTACAATTACTGCAGTATGACTTGGTCTCGTTGTCCAGGAGACCTACACTTCAACGAGGTCACTCGAACTTGCGACCACCCTTGCAGAGCTGGCTGTAAGGATCGGCGAGAAATCGGGGCGTGCTGTCCTGCTGACGGAGAAGTTTATGAAGATCCATGTACTTGCGACATGTACTACCTGTGTACGAACGGCATTAAAGAACTTGTTAAGTGCGAAGACGGTCTGCAGTATAACAACACTCTAGGCCGTTGCGATAATTCGTGCAGCGGTGGCTGCCCAAAACTTTTCGCAGGAAACCCGGAATGCTGTGCCTCTACAAGCGGAAAGCCTGAACCCCAGTGCCCCGCGACCACGTACCCCATATTCTTGCCACACCCAAGCAGCAGTCAGTTCTTCTACAAGTGCGTGAACGGTGTTCGATCCTGCATCCGTTGCCCTTTGCAACGTCGGTGGAACACTGATACGGATACCTGCGATGAGACGGCTTGTTCCAGGCCCGAGACGCCATTCTACTGACACCCAGGTCACACCAGGTACCGAGTTCTCTGAAAATCTTTTGATCTGTTCACAGTTTCTGAAGCCTTTCAAGTTTGCTTTTGAGAGACTATTATAATTTCTCCATAAGCCACAAAGCAGAAAAACATTGCGCCAGGATGTGTACGGGCGGTCAACCTCTGCTCTCATGTTGAAGGAATGATCGGTCTTCAAGGCTATCCGGTACCCTAGACCGTAACTCCCCTTAACGTCCTCCTCCTCCTCCTCCTCAAGCCACTGTCTAATTAGTGACGGTCCTGTAAATCCTAACACCGATGTAGAAACGTGATAATTAACCTGCGGGCACAGGAGGAAAACAAAAAACTCTGTTGTCACTCGTAGGATGGAGGAACTAAAAATAAATCCAAGCAACACTGAAAGTATGTGCAATTATGTAACTCACTTCATTCACTTACGAAACGCCTTGCAAACCGGCAGCAAACATTACTTAACGTTCCAAACGCGGCACAGCGCATAATCACAACACAAAAAGGCTTTTTCCTTCTTTAACAAGAGTCGGGGTGATCATATTAATTAAGATTAGCTTCACGTTGCGTGTAGCAAGCATCTCAGAGTCCGGGGATGACTGTCTTTTGGGTTACTGCGCCGCCTAAACTGGTAGCAGTCTAACAGCGTGACAGAGGTCCTTGCTGCCTCCATCGTCAGGGCGATTCTATCAGACTACACGGCGCAACAACCCAGAAGACAGCCATCTTATACATCTGCATCTCCTAAACGGAAAAGGCCACTTGATTTACTACGGTGTAGACGGAATGCTTATCTTCTGTGGTGAATTTCTCGAATAGCCGAGTGAGAATTAGATTCTCAAGGACTCGGCTACGTGCAGTTAATTCTGTCACTACAGTGACGAAGAGTGGCACAAGTCATTAGTGATTTCTCTTGGCCACTACAAGACCCGCTCAGCCCCCACTCGTCCGGTGTCCTTTGACAAAGAGGCGAAGATACAACAGAAATCTGTGCCTCCAGACAAATTATTAATAACCACCCTTCCGTAATACATTTAAAGCCAGTAGTTGATACAGCATAAACGACCCGTCCCTGTGAGCCTTCACGGCGTGTGATCAGACGCGTGATGACGTAACTCACAAAAAATACAAAAATCCTAAACTTCATCCTTCCGAACCCTCTGAGTTTCAACAGTCACAATCCGGAAGAACATCGTCATCTCTGATCTCACAAACCTACGATTACAAGATGTTTCACAAACCGTTGAAATCAACGGATACATCAATTACACTCGTCTCAATTAAACGACAAGAATTAGCTCCACGCAACACAAGAGTCCAGTCTCCGAAACGTCGTAAATTAGTACGACGGACAATGCCCAGCCAATTTGCGACCGTAATAATTCACCACGGCCAGACGCCTTAGGATTCCACACCGCCGCCTCCCGCCGCACTCATCGGCCTTGCAGGTAGGACCGGTCACACGATCCGATCCACTCAGTGGTGGAGCCTCCGTCACCTGTCAGGAATGCAAACTCTGTTGAACAGCGTCCTTCTGAGAAGCTGCTAGTCGCTTCGACACACAACAAATTCCTCGATTTTCATTATGATGCCCAACTATGGTCCTTATTCTCAGCCACATGAATCCAATGCAGACCCTCGCATTCTATTCCATTAAGATACATTTTAATATTATCCTTCCATGTGCACTTAGGTCTTTCAAGTGTTTTCTTCTGTTCAGGTTTTATTCCTCGTCTCCGGTGCGCCCTACAGTATCATCCTAACAACATCTGGTTACGAATCCCACTGAGTCTAAAGGACACATGTCCAGAAAGTAAGTGCTGTGAACTCAGAAGACACGAAACAGATTGTCATTTATACTACAATTATTGCAGTATGACTTGGTCTCGTTGTCCAGGAGACCTACACTTCAACGAGGTCACTCGAACTTGCGACCACCCTTGCAGAGCTGGCTGTAAGGATCGGCGAGAAATCGGGGCGTGCTGTCCTGCTGACGGAGAAGTTTATGAAGATCCATGTACTTGCGACATGTACTACCTGTGTACGAACGGCATTAAAGAACTTGTTAAGTGCGAAGACGGTCTGCAGTATAACAACACTCTAGGCCGTTGCGATAATTCGTGCAGCGGTGGCTGCCCAAAACTTTTCGCAGGAAACCCGGAATGCTGTGCCTCTACAAGCGGAAAGCCTGAACCCCAGTGCCCCGCGACCACGTACCCCATATTCTTGCCACACCCAAGCAGCAGTCAGTTCTTCTACAAGTGCGTGAACGGTGTTCGATCCTGCATCCGTTGCCCTTTGCAACGTCGGTGGAACACTGATACGGATACCTGCGATGAGACGGCTTGTTCCAGGCCCGAGACGCCATTCTACTGACACCCAGGTCACACCAGGTACCGAGTTCTCTGAAAATCTTTTGATCTGTTCACAGTTTCTGAAGCCTTTCAAGTTTGCTTTTGAGAGACTATTATAATTTCTCCATAAGCCACAAAGCAGAAAAACATTGCGCCAGGATGTGTACGGGCGGTCAACCTCTGCTCTCATGTTGAAGGAATGATCGGTCTTCAAGGCTATCCGGTACCCTAGACCGTAACTCCCCTTAACGTCCTCCTCCTCCTCCTCCTCAAGCCACTGACTAATTAGTGACGGTCCTGTAAATCCTAACACCGATGTAGAAACGTGATAATTAACCTGCGGGCACAGGAGGAAAACAAAAAACTCTGTTGTCACTCGTAGGATGGAGGAACTAAAAATAAATCCAAGCAACACTGAAAGTATGTGCAATTATGTAACTCACTTCATTCACTTACGAAACGCCTTGCAAACCGGCAGCAAACATTACTTAACGTTCCAAACGCGGCACAGCGCATAATCACAACACAAAAAGGCTTTTTCCTTCTTTAACAAGAGTCGGGGTGATCATATTAATTAAGATTAGCTTCACGTTGCGTGTAGCAAGCATCTCAGAGTCCGGGGATGACTGTCTTTTGGGTTACTGCGCCGCCTAAACTGGTAGCAGTCTAACAGCGTGACAGAGGTCCTTGCTGCCTCCATCGTCAGGGCGATTCTATCAGACTACACGGCGCAACAACCCAGAAGACAGCCATCTTATACATCTGCATCTCCTAAACGGAAAAGGCCACTTGATTTACTACGGTGTAGACGGAATGCTTATCTTCTGTGGTGAATTTCTCGAATAGCCGAGTGAGAATTAGATTCTCAAGGACTCGGCTACGTGCAGTTAATTCTGTCACTACAGTGACGAAGAGTGGCACAAGTCATTAGTGATTTCTCTTGGCCACTACAAGACCCGCTCAGCCCCCACTCGTCCGGTGTCCTTTGACAAAGAGGCGAAGATACAACAGAAATCTGTGCCTCCAGACAAATTATTAATAACCACCCTTCCGTAATACATTTAAAGCCAGTAGTTGATACAGCATAAACGACCCGTCCCTGTGAGCCTTCACGGCGTGATGACGTAACTCACAAAAAATACAAAAATCCTAAACTTCATCCTTCCGAACCCTCTGAGTTTCAACAGTCACAATCCGGAAGAACATCGTCATCTCTGATCTCACAAACCTACGATTACAAGATGTTTCACAAACCGTTGAAATCAACGGATACATCAATTACACTCGTCTCAATTAAACGACAAGAATTAGCTCCACGCAACACAAGAGTCCAGTCTCCGAAACGTCGTAAATTAGTACGACGGACAATGCCCAGCCAATTTGCGACCGTAATAATTCACCACGGCCAGACGCCTTAGGATTCCACACCGCCGCCTCCCGCCGCACTCATCGGCCTTGCAGGTAGGACCGGTCACACGATCCGATCCACTCAGTGGTGGAGCCTCCGTCACCTGTCAGGAATGCAAACTCTGTTGAACAGCGTCCTTCTGAGAAGCTGCTAGTCGCTTCGACACACAACAAATTCCTCGATTTTCATTATGATGCCCAACTATGGTCCTTATTCTCAGCCACATGAATCCAATGCAGACCCTCGCATTCTATTCCATTAAGATACATTTTAATATTATCCTTCCATGTGCACTTAGGTCTTTCAAGTGTTTTCTTCTGTTCAGGTTTTATTCCTCGTCTCCGGTGCGCCCTACAGTATCATCCTAACAACATCTGGTTACGAATAGAAATGATGGAACTCCCCATTACGCAGTTAAATCCACCCTCCTGTCACTTCATCCCCCTTAGCTCCATATATTCTCTTTACATCCCGTTTGTGTGTTCTCCCCTTAATGCGAGAGGCCGAGTTTCGCACCCATACAAAGCAGCGAGTAAAATTACAGTTCTTCAGATTTAATTAGTGAAAGTCAATCACATACTAGCGGCAATGCCACTGGATTTCCGAACGCCGAAATGGAAGTGAGATCATGGCCACAACAACGCTGGGGGCGTCACTACAGAATTCCCCAAGGTTGTCAGAGAAACACAAGTCATTCACTCTCGACAACTGACAAGCGGAGAGCGTCGAGGTTCGAACGTGTGCTCCCAGACCGGAATACACCGGAAAAATACCTTAAAACAGTCCACGACATTTTCCTCCTCAGCACTTAAGTTTCATTCTTTGGTTATTCGACGACGCTTCGTCAAGTACAAAATGCACACAAATCAGAAAGCGACAGGTAGATGAGCTACCATGTTCAGAAGACATGCAAACAGTGGGGCGTGTTCCCTGCCTGCTGCAACACAAGAGTTGTGCATTCTGCTGACGAGGCTGACAAAGGACCTCTTCACACCTGAGGCAGTACGTCCCCTCCCCAAAATCCATAAATTAAAATAAAATTAAAATAATTCCATTAATTACCTAATTTTCCGACTACCGACTATACACATGTCCCAAGTCACACTTTATATATCACTGCGTCTCATTCGAGTACTTTGTCCTTAAACGACGCTGTATTGACTGCAGAGGTTAAAGGGCGTACAGGCTCCAAAGAATGCAAATGGCTGCCTTTCTTTGCCAAGTTTTGAGTCCTTCGTCTGCGAGAATTAATACAGAATAGAAACGACGTCCATCCGGGTACGCGGTGTGGATTCGAGCGGGTTACTCCCAGGTAAAAGCCAGAAGAGTCAACGCTTCGAACAACCGCGAATTCCACAGACGAACTGCCGACCCCAGGGATCGCAACTTCTTCTTCCTGTGTCTTCCCGGAACAGCCGTTCCCACTCTTCTGCCAATCCACACACGACTCCGAAACCACGGCTCGCGCAAAGTTCAACGTTAAAGGAAAACAACTTGTCGACATTTAAAATTCTTCACATTAGTCACTTTTATGAATAACACAAAGCACATGACTGGCACGCGGCAATTTAGAAACGATATTTGAAAAAAAAAACTGTAAATGCTACACAGACTTAATTTAATCATCAGTGACGTCATACTCCACACCCGCTGCAGGTAAATCACTTAACGATGCTGTGTCAACTGATAAATGTATCTAGCGTCGAATAATGTGTAAGAATGGTTATGAGGCGTGAATCAGCAGAGAGGACACCACAATCGTGGTTAATAGGCGGATTCGCATGTTATTTAAAGATGGTATATCAAGTACAGATGATATTTAGCGTCGTATAAGATAAGAAGGTTTTTAAGTATCTTGACTTCGGAGAAAGCGTGGTTGTGGGTTATTTAAAAAAGTAAGCCTTATATTTGTTGTCAAGAACTGAGTAAAATCACGTATTTTAAATATTATATGTTGCAAGAACATACAAGGACGATATGATGATTTAAGTTTTAATGCTAGGCCACGCCAAAGCGACTTTCATGTCGCGGAGTGTACGACGAAGCCACTTTCTGAAGAACAGCTGATATAAATGACGTTTCGGGAGTCAATTTTCCTACTATCTTCAGTAATATTTTTATTACTTTTAACACTTGTAAATGTTAGGTTCGGAGACGAACGTTCTGTGGCACGCACCCAAAGCTGCGACTATGCCGACTGAAAATTGTCGCCGTCAGAAAAAAACATTTGAATTTCAGAACTTCATTGTAGTCGCAAGGCGTAACATAGTCTAAATGACGGAGTGGTAACGTTTCTTAAGCGCTCCAGGTTAAAATCTTTGCCATGCGATCAACTACGATTGTATCGTGGTTCTCCTCAGCCCTTCCAGGAGAAAGTCCGGATAGCATGTTGTAATATTCCACGGTCACTTCCCCCCTGTTCTTTTAATTTCAAGGACAGCAACTGCGTGAATTGTAGCTAAATAACAGTTGCCGCTGACGTCATCCATCCACAATCCATGTCTGTTACTTAATGTGGGCCGATCCCCCACACAGTTTCAGGACGAAACAAGCAGAAACTTAAAGGTAAGAGAACCCAAGAAGGTATGGACAAACGAAGACGTCTTTGACACAGCAACCGGTCGAGGACAACCATAAAGAACATCGGGGAAGGCGTCATGGCAAACAGATTCAATCCGTTCTTTAGTGCGCGGTCTCTAACACCAGCACAATGAAATGGATTCCCTAATCACTGCTTCCGGCCTGAAATCCCACATAACTAATTATGTACTATTTGTGTCACTCCGCTGTTGGGCTAAGAGGCTGTGACGGGAAACAGCGATACGTAATCGGGAATCCTCTCGCCTTACAGCTCGGCTGTACTGCTAGTCCAATTACTCCGTGGAATCAACGACAGAAAATGTGCATACAAATTAGCAGTTGTATCTATTCGTTTAGAAAGCTTAGAGAGAACCAGCTGAAGATGACAAATTAAGGTCGAAACATGTAGTGGATTCTTAATAAACATCTAAAATTATAATCGAAAATTGTAGTGCACTAACGTCCTTAGGCACAAATGGACGCATCCCTTAAAACTCGAGAGATCAGGGGATGATCCAGGATCATTGCCACGAACGTCGTGGCCTATGTTGCGATAGTTTCGCCATTCAAGAGACGTAGGCTACTGATAGAGTCACAGCAAAAAAAGGTTTACATAAATTTCGCGAAGATAATATCCTGAACAGGACGCGATTGTCCTGATGATGTAACAACCACCTCTGAAACGTCCGCTCATTTCTACGAGGCTACATCCCAAAATACAGCCATGTTCACAATCTCGGCCATCGGAGCGCAACATCTCGCCTGCTTTATCTCCCTTCTGACTCATTATTCGCAATTATCAAGCGCATACAACTCAACCTTCACAGCTGAAACAACGTCGTAAATTAGCCGGATACACAAACATCTCAGGACGTATTAAGAGGAGTTTTACGCATATCTGCAAGTCTTATGAGCACGGTAAGTACATTATATAGGGTCCAAAAGGGCGCCATGCAAGGTCTACTGGTACCTGTACATCAATCATGTCATGCTACAATCATGTTTCGTTTAGCAGAATGTACGTGTTTTGTCACGAAGCATGCCCTTAGCGTCAGCAGAGAACTACATGATCATCGCACAACACGAAAGTGATATCACTAAACGAACCGGTGGGAGCGAATTTAGGTACGCCGTACCTCGTAACGTAGAACACAAGACACAATTGCTGTCAAACCTTCCGATTTTAGCTGTGAAAAAAAACCTTTAAAAGGGGGTAGAAAGAAAGCTAAGGCGTCAACCCTGAAAGGGGGATGGAGGGCCATGAGGAGGCCCCCCGAACATCTTGCGAAATTAACCGAATTACGTACAATAGGTCACGAATTCCGAGAACAGTAAACTACGTAAACTTGACATCTTAAGTGATCACAGTCGCTCAAAAGATTCGATATATCTCGCAGCAGAAGATCTCGATTTAGGGACTTTCTTCTCCAGTGACGTTCCGTTCCAAACAGGATGAGAGCGGTCAACTGGTTGGTGATTCACTGCAAAGAAAAAGAGGCGCGTTGACGAGCCTTGTGATGCTCCCTTCTGGAGGAATCAAGGCCTACTAGAAATCAAGATTTTTCACCTTTCAGCTTCTTCACGTTTTAATGCAAAGTTCATCAGAAAGTCGTAAAAATTGCCGGTAACCTTACAAGAAACATTTTTTCAATGAAATTAATAAATTATGCCAGTGTTATAACTGTATGTGGATGCCACCTGCCTTATTAATGGCGACATTCTCTGAGCTTTCACCTAAAAACACAATCGTTTAGAGCCCCTCAAAGAGCATTACTAGCCGTGTATCCACATATTTTGATTATATTTGATGCTGTGGAGTCGGAGTCGACCTCGATATAAAATCTTAAGAACAATTTCTATACCGTGTGAGACGCCGGCGGCCTCACGCTTAGGGAGATTCAACGAAGCGTTGGTGTGGGAATAATGTTTTGTAACTTTGGCTCCGTTACCTTAAGAACACAAACTGTCCACAAATGAACCAATTTCGGCAATAATATTTAAATATAGGTTATAAGACTAAAAATTAGGCTGATGATTTACGTGGTGGTGGTGATGAAATCTCTTACGGTACCATTTACCATTTTAGTAGGTTTACCCTAATTAATGCATATTGAGCTTTTATGAAGGAGTCGGTTTCGGAGATTTTAGTACCGACTCCACAACACCTGATTGTGGACTTCTACCCAAATTGTCGACAATTCTAAACTGTAATTAAAGTCGTCCAAAGATTAGCAGGCATTCTACGCCACACCAAGACACTCACTTCTCTTAAAATTTACCATGGGTCATAATTTGAAATTTATGGTTTTGTTTGAAACAGCCGAAAGGATAAGAAATTGATTCAAAAATGAAATACACGTTTAAAACAATTTTATTTTGAAAATAAGTTATCGATCTTTGCAGTTTATTTTACTGCGACTACCTATGAGAAAGTCGACTTTAAACATCGTTTTGATTAACTTTGACTCTCATTAATTTTTGTATATCTTATTCCACTTTATCTCGTCTCTCTCTCTCTCTCTATACCTCTCACTTTCTTCCATGGTTTTCTTCTGCACCTACCCTACTTTGGACCTCCTACATTATAAACCTTCATCCCCTCTTCAATTTACTCCCTAAAACAACGTTTCTTATCCGAAACGTCTTTCCTACGAGGAATAAGTTGACGTTTCGTGCATCATCAAATTGAAATATTTCACGAGCTCACTGTAAACCCGCCATGAATAATTTACACAACTTTATTAAGTGTGCTTGTTGGGACCTGATGCACGTGATTATGCCAAAAAGCCCGTTCTAACGGTGAAGTGTGGTGTTTTCTTCGCGGTACGGACTAAAGACTTAAACATTATTCAGACAGGGTTAAAGCGTTCTTACAATTACGCAAGACCTACATTTCACTTACGACGAATAACAAACAGTAAGTTGAATTCGTCTGCGACCTTGAAACGCACAGAATTCGGAAACAGTTAACTTCCTGCACCTCTCGAAGAGAACGTCAGATCGCGGGTCGCTTTGACTTGTTTGGGGTGTGTCATAGCACGTCAGGAGATTGATTACACGAGGACGAAGGGAGATGGCAGTGGAAGCCTTACGTTTACACAGCCAATGCCCATTCAGCAGACGAACAAATTTCATACTTCTTATTAAATATAGGAGTGAACGTGTGTGTGTGTTGCAGGGAGGGGGGGGCAGGTTCCATGCAAACAGCATCTCCCCTCTTGTTTGTTCATCATAACGTGCGTTAGTAAAGCTTTAACTGACTTGACACATTATGACTTCCAGTGGGGGGGGGGGGGGGGCAAAAAAAAAAACACGCACATAAGTCTCAAATATTTTACCTTGACAGTCCCAAGATCCTATAAGGATGAGACACGCGGATAAACCCGACAGATAGTTTCATTTGAGGTCTTAAATAGCCCCCACTTTGTCACCTCCGTTTATAGGACTCGTCCGCTATAACAGTGGCCGACCCCACGGTGTCCTCTTCAGATTCAGTAAACCATGGGGCCTGTCACGTCCTCCTCAGGCTCCAACAGTGAGCGCCAAAGCTGGAGCTGCGCGGTCGTCTCAGGTTAGTGATTTCTGGTTTTCACACCCGGGTGCATGACAGGCATCAGTAACGCATTAACAAACAAAGTGTTCCACGTTGCTACCTCAACATAGGCACTTCTAATCACACTGCACGTGCTGTTTTTTTTTGTAATGCATCAGAAGTTTCATCTGTGATATTCGACGACCTTTAAGAGGAAGTAATGTCTCACGTGGGGTGAATTCACTGTGCACGTGAGTGCTTTTTTATGCCACGGAAAAAGTTACAGGAAATTCTTGTCGTCCTGATGAGATTAAACCATCAGTTTCAAAATCCCTTCAGCGAAGGACCTTGTATAATGCAAAACAACAAGATGGCCTCCACGCAAAATACACAGTTAGAACAGAGAAAGTCAGCAATATTACTAAAACATTGGATCTCAACTTGTGAAATTCATTTCGAAGTAATTCATAAATATAACGATTTAAATGTTGCATTAAACATTTCTTACACGTTATCAACAGTAAACTTGGTGGCGGTGTAAATATTCGAAATTATATCTGGCGACCTAAAAATCAATGTGAATTATCACAAAACTGTGCACTTATCGTCAATTCACACTTACTGTCCATCACGTCATACACCTGAACAAAAAGAGGGATGATCGCGTTCTTTACCGAATTTACTGTAGAGAAATGAGACGGAATTTGGAATTGTGTGTCTCGAGGAACATGGCCGAGCAGAGCACTTTAGTGTGACGTCATGGATAAAAACCACAGCCTACATGTTTCAATAGCAAAGTAGTTATAAGTTTTGAACTGGGGAGGATGTGAGTGAAATGGTACGACTGCGTAGTTTAACCGTTCGAAGCCCGAATATCATTTAAATAATATTAACATGACAGCGATCAATTAGTTGATTTTTGAGGAAATAATGACTTTTAATTCCGAGAACAATATGAGACCATAAACAAACTCTGAGAACAAAATGCAGTGTTACTCTAACAGCATGTATCTCCGTGCTTTTTAATTACTGTAAAAATGTGAGAAATATCGATTCGGATGTCCATCAGTACAACCGAGCCAAATTTCACCCCCCCACCCCCGCGTTCCCAAACAAAATGGAATCGCGTCGATCACAACAAGTCCAATGTGGGGTCGGATTTAATCTCTGTTTGTCAGATCGCTAGACGCCGTTTTTGAACAACCGCCATGGAGCAGTTACGAATCAAAGATCACAACGCGAACATTTCGACTTTCACCGGAGGTGGCCTGCGTGGATGTAAATTAGGGCATCAAAGGACACTAGCAGCGTCGAGCGCTCGCACGTAGCATACTGATGAACTGAAGTCATGGTTACGTAAGCAGCTGTGAGGAAAATCATAATGTCAAGGTTTTAGCGGAAGAATGAAACAAGGCAATGTTTGAAGTTATCGAAAGGGAATGGCGAAAACTAGCAGATTCCGTGCTGTTCACTCTCTTCCACGTTGTGCCTCAACAAACATTTGAACATCGCAACGCGGAGGTAGAATAAATAATCGCTAGTTGCCCCTAACTGCGCTTGGTCCATTCGCTTGTCATTACTACGTCAGTGGCCGTGATAATTATCGTAAACTTTACTGACGAAGAGACTGTACAATCATTGTCTTCTATTACCATTGGATGGTAGGAAGTTAACCAGCCGTGGCCGACTTAAGTAAATGGCTGCGAAGTTCTGCTGAGTTCTGTAATTTAACCCTTTAAGACCCAGTGGTAACTATATGTACCACCTACTTCACACAGTTAATAACTCTGCGTTTTGTATGTGTGGGTTTCGGATTCTCAATGTAAACATCGATTATTTCCTTAAACAGCGTTAACCATTCGATCTTTGTAATGGTGAAGTGTAGTGTTTTCTTCGCGGTACGGACTGAATTCTTAAATGTAATTTAGACGAGCTTCGGGCTTCAAAGGGTTAATAAGGAATTCACCAGCACGAACATTTGAGGTGGTTTTAATATGAACAGAAATAGAAAATGTTTAACTTTGAACTATTACCATAATGATGATGAAGATGATGACGTAGGATTTGAGGCTTTCACGGCGGCGAGTCTGAAGATGATTACTATACTGACTATTTTAATAATAAATACAGAGAAAGAAAACGCAATGAGGAAAGTCAGAACAGGGCAGAACGTACAATTTTCCAACAGAAGTGTGTGTTCTCACTGACGCTCTTTGCCAAAGCAGTTACTCGTACGTCTCATGGTCGTGAGCAGATTCTTTGCCATGTCTCAAGCGCCTGCCCCCTGCCTTAAAGAGGGATATCGCCCCTTCTGCCTTGACATTCTGTATTATCGTCATTATCAGAATCATAACCTTGTGCTTTCAGAGTCTGCACGTAGGAACTCCTAAGAGCACGCTAAACGCAAATAAGAAAGATGTCAGCCAGCGTGAAGTCCTTGATGACGGGGAACTGTGATATTCAGCAATACAGTCGCGTTTAAAACAACCAATCAGGTCTCTCCTTTTGTTAACCAGTTGATTAACTGCGATCGGTGCTAAATGGACTCGCCTTTCTGTCCGTTCATGACAAAGTCAGCTCTCTGGTATCGCACCGTCCACTTTCTCTTACGTCTGACGTTACTAGGTTACCTTGACTCCATAAAGGATGGACTAAACTGACATTTACGCTCATCCGAAATCTGGAACAGTTTATCGCTAGAAATACGTGAGTGGAAAAATATTACGTAAATAGCGTATCTACCAGGCTACACTGTGCCCGCGAAGGTAGCCATCGTGACTCTCCAACCTCATGAGAAACTATAAATGTTCACGAAATAGTCGTAGAAAAAATTAATTCCGAAGGGGACCCGCCTAGCTACAAGACAAACAATTCTGCTCCTTTATTGCTTCAAAGATTTCGATTAGTGTGCTCCCACAAAAATTTACGAGACGCTTTTTGGTCCATCAGGACACAAATTTGGCAGTGGCCAAATCGGACCAGTGACGCGGAAGTTACTTGGGGTCAACTGGGTTCACGCGTCGACGAGGTTTGTTCCTAGATAATGACGTCATCAGGGGATTTCCCAAAGTTGTGGCGTGACTAGAGATTCCCAAAAAATTAATTTCGCGCGCGCAGAAAGGATGCGAACTTTATTTTTGTCCGATTTCAACTAAACTTCGATGTTGGCAAATTGTGCTGGAACCCCCAAATATCAAAATTCATAGAAAAAAAAAATCCGTTCACCGGTTCTTGAGTTGCTACGTCGTAAAGCGAATGGGCGAACTTTTTGAAAGTTAGTAACGACCAAACTGTGATCAGGCAACAGGTGATAATATCCCGGATTACAACGCCTACAAAACAAAAGCTTTCTAATACATGGAATCTGCAGCACTGTTAAATTAACTTTTGTTGTGGCTTAACAAGGATCTGAAAGCGTTGTTAATATTTTTAGGCTCAGACTGTACCCAGGACCGTGCGCTAATGTTTGCACTATCACTACAACTGCAAGTGAATGCTAATTTATGCCGTACAATAGGCGAGGCTGGCTCGAGATGGATCGCTAATTTCAGAGTTCACAAGCTTCACGCAGGACATCTGTGACGACGACTGATGGGAAGAAGCCACGGCCTCGAACTCCGTCCCGTTTGATGGCGACTCTTTGCCGAACTACGAGGTCACGAACAGGACGACATGAGCTCGAAGTAAAACAGCTATTTTCACTAAAAAAAAAACATTATCTGAAATATGTTTCGACTCCCCGTGTACATAAGGTTCAGGGTTCAGCTTCAGGCTTTTGTAAACACGGTCATGAGCCTTCTAATTACATAAGATACGGGTAAATTGACTAGCTGACTACTGTCAGCTCCTAAAGAATGAGTCTTACTCAGTGGCATTAGTCAATCTGAGTGGGAAGCCACAAAACTTCATTACGCAAAGCACAAAAACCGGATGTGACAAGGACAAGAATAAAAACTCATGAAGAAGAAGATTCCTTGCAGATTAGCCGCTAGAATGGAAATTACGAACATAAAAAAGAAAGTGACTTATTGCAAAAGTTGCAGACGTGAGACGTTTACACTGAATCCATACAAGTTGACGTCTCTTACGGCGGGGCTAATAAAATATGGCCTTCGGGACAGATGAAGCCCGCAAGTGAAGGATTCCCCACTAACCAATCCGTGTCAAACCTCCACGCACTCAGAGAAGACCTACATTTATTATCATTAATTTTCTAAAAAGTTGTAGGCCTGTCACGTGGGAGTTTAAGCTCCTGGGGCGACTGAACCCAGCAAAATCTTTTCCAGCAGCTGGCATTGTCAGTTGCGAAAAATTATGTCCTGATGATGGAGGCTGATATTATCTCCGAAACGTCGGTCTTTTGTCGATAATTGACACATTTTGTTGCCCGAAAAGATTCTACTGATAAGAGGCGACGTCAGATTCTGACGGACATTCACAGGGGCTGAACCTGACACGTACACTTTTGGAATTTCAAGCTACAAAATTTCGTGCAGACAATTTAAAACCGAGTAATTACAAATTCAAATACAACAAAAAACCTGCCCGAAAATATCAACCATTTCCACTGGTAGACGACATAATGTACTCTTTGGAGTAAAATGAAATGCTAAATAAAGTGATCTTGACGAAACAAGACGGGAGGTGACGTCAGCACGTTGCTTCTTTGGCAAACGCGGATTAAAGGGGCTACATGGACTTCGATCGCTCGAGTTACGTAAGTCTCGAAATGAGTATCGAAGTTCTTTGTTTTGATAATGTGATTCGAGGTCACTGATGTGGTCCAAAAGTAACCTGGGTTCCCAATGTTGCGAGAATGTATTCCAACCATTAAATCGGTACCACTGTCGTAACGAGGCATTCCAACACTGACCTCGAGTAGTGCGGGTTTGATTGTTGCTAAGGAAACCGCTTCAGACAGACAGACAGACAGCACAAACACTTAGAGCAGCTTGGTCTCGTGAACTGAACAGTGACGAAATCTGGCGGATCCATCACATTTACATTCTTAATTATCTGAGTTACCTTGGAAACCACAGGCGGTAACTCCGATATTGGACCGTTGACCTTAAAAGGTGCCGGAGTCCGCCAACGCTGCGTATTAGGGCTCCGAGAACTGCGATGAACGCGCAGTTAAATTCAAATACCACGCAAAACTATTGGCTAACCGCTTATTCCATTTCTTAGGCTGACAAACAAATACCATAAAGTTCAAAAGCGCCGGAGGTACAGAAGCGAAGTGACAAATGCCAAGGGCCCATCAGTCAGCGGGTGAAACGAACACGTCACTCGAACCCACGTGTTTCTAAAACACCGGACAGAACTTCACGGGAGTTTTGCTATCGACGTTACATTACGTTCCTTCTGCATGCCTCGCATAAGCAATTATGGTCCACGAGAAAAGATCTGCGCATTCTTGACTATCCCCCCCCCCCGGCCGCCTTAACCCCGACAAACGAGCCATCTGGCATCTGCGTGACGCACTAAATTCTGTGGCGAGGAGAATAATTAACATTCTGGGGGGGGGGGGGGGGGGGGAAATGAACTCAGTCACACACTTTCTTCACCAGCGATCAACACTCGTACATTTGATTTCTTTATAGATCATTTAACGACGCCGTCAACATCTCATATTACATAGCGTGATTAGTGGACAATGAATTGGAACGGATGTGGATGGAATATGTGGTGGCCTCACGTGAGACAATATTAAAGCATTTAAATGATGGGACTGAGGAAAATCACTAAATCCTCGGTCGGCGAACATCACGAATAAGAAAGAGAGACTCGTATTTGTCCAAAACCAGGGCGTAGAGTCTGTCGAAGTTCAGCGGTGGAGTCACGTTTCTCGTTCTTCCACCCCTCGCCGCCCCTTTTCAATCAATTCATTACATTCGTCCCTTTATGTACTTCATAAGCACTTATAAAAAAAGATGCCTAATGGTAGCAGCACGTGTGAAACTGAACATACACCATTTAGCGTTACGATAATGTGATGGCATGACAGACGGATATGTTTGTGACCTGGATGTTATTATTTTAGTAAAAATCGAATGTCAAGATCATCAGGCAGGACTGAATTTACTATGCAGGCAATTATAGAACACACTGCCAATTATAAAAATATATTCGTGATAGCCTGCAAGAGACACTTGTTCAGGTAAGCCTGAAAATGCCAAACTTATCACACACAAATCTGTCACAGACGCTGCTGTGAAGCATGTTATCAGTCGCTCTGGACAGTTAAATTTCCAACATTCCGGACATAATAGATCTGAGGTTCTCGATGCTGGCCTTCTAAATAGCATCACCTACAAGTTCGCACGCGTTGCGACCCCAACATCGACTGCCCGGGTAAAGATCGGAGTAACATTTTACTTTTTCAAAACCCGCTTAATTTTCCGCAGGTCCCACGCTGATGGTACTGCTAATCCTCGTGATTGGCGCGGACTGCTGGAGATGGGGCTCAGTGCCCTCGTGTCCCCCGGGACCTGAACCAGAGTGCCCCGAGAATCCCGTGGACGACACATCAAACTACTTCGCCCACCCCACGGACTGCCACTATTACATCCAGTGCGACGGCAGCAGGAAGCCGATCTGCAGGCGCTGCTCCCCAACGACGTACTTCAACCCCAAGACGTTCAACTGCGTCTGGCCACTTCTCGCCAGCTGCGAGCACAACGAAACTACGAGGCGGGAGAGTCTCTTGCCGCCCATATGTGGTCCAGACAGGGAATGCTACGAGGAAGGAGACACGGAGAGAGATTACGTGGACTGCTCGCGTTTTTACTTGTGCAAGAACGGAAGCAAAGTTCGAATGGAATGCCCAGAAGGACAGGCCTTCAGTGCCAAACAGGGAATATGCACCGAAATTGAAGAAGCAGAGTGCGACGATTACACGTACTTAGAAACAAAACGATGTAAAGATGAAGGCAGAACAGTCAAAATAAATTGCCACTCTTACATGATATGCAAAGGAAACAGAACGCAAACATTCAGGTGCAACACAGATCAGCATTTTGACGACACGACCCTCACGTGTCTACCCGGATCCTGTGACAAACCTTCCTGCGAGGACAAGGAAGATTCCACTGACTGCTCATATTACTTTAAGGACTGTAATCAGAGAACAAAGTGTCCTGAGAGTAAACACTTTAATAAGAAAACGAAACACTGTGAAAACCAGTGCACGGCCGGTTGCAAAAATCCAAAAGATATTCCACAGTGCAGACAATGCCAAGAGGAAGGCAAAATACTACAATGGGATTGTAAATCTTATACCACATGCAGGGATGGGATCCCGGAAACATTCACGTGCCGGGCGGATCAGCATTTTGATGAGTCAACTGCCACATGTACAGCCGGTTCTTGCAACCCTCCTGTCTGCAAGGACAAAGAAGACGCTACTGACTGCAGTTATTACATCAAAAACTGTGACCAAAGGACAAAGTGCCCCCTAGGTCAACATTTCAACAAACTAACAAAAGCTTGTGAAAATCAGTGTACAGCTGGCTGCCAGAATCCAGAAGATATTCCACAATGCAGACACTGCCAGGAAGGTAAAATATTGCAGTATGATTGCCACTCATACAAAATATGCACAGGAGGGAAAATTGTACCCGTAATTTGCCGAGATGATCAATATTTTGACGAGGCAAGTGGTAGCTGTAAACCAGGATCTTGCAACCCTCCTGCCTGCGAGGACAAAGAAGACGCTACTGACTGCAGTTATTACATCAAAAACTGTGACCAAAGGACAAAGTGCCCCCTAGGTCAACATTTCAACAAACTAACAAAAGCTTGTGAAAATCAGTGTACAGCTGGCTGCCAGAATCCAGAAGATATTCCACAATGCAGACACTGCCAGGAAGGTAAAATATTGCAGTATGATTGCCACTCATACAAAATATGCACAGGAGGGAAAATTGTACCCGTAATTTGCCGAGATGATCAATATTTTGACGAGGCAAGTGGTAGCTGTAAACCAGGATCTTGCAACCCTCCTGTCTGCGAGGACAAAGAAGACGCTACTGACTGCAGTTATTACATCAAAAACTGTGACCAAAGGACAAAGTGCCCCCTAGGTCAACATTTCAACAAACTAACAAAAGCTTGTGAAAATCAGTGTACAGCTGGCTGCCAGAATCCAGAAGATATTCCACAATGCAGACACTGCCAGGAAGGTAAAATATTGCAGTATGATTGCCACTCATACAAAATATGCACAGGAGGGAAAATTGTACCCGTAATTTGCCGAGATGATCAATATTTTGACGAGGCAAGTGGTAGCTGTAAACCAGGATCTTGCAACCCTCCTGTCTGCGAGGACAAAGAAGACGCTACTGACTGCAGTTATTACATCAAAAACTGTGACCAAAGGACAAAGTGCCCCTTAGGTCAACATTTCAACAAACTAACAAGAGCTTGTGAAAATCAGTGTACAGCTGGCTGCCAGAATCCAAGTACAATTTCAGACTGTTACTTGTGTGAACCGGAAGGGAAGACCTTCGAAGATCCTTGCAGTTGTGAAATGTACTACAAGTGTGTGGGTGGAGTGAGAGTCCTTGAGGTATGCGATAGCGGTCTCCATTACAACAGAACGCTTGGTCGATGTGACACCCCGTGCACTGATATATGTCCGAAATTGTTCGCTAGAAAACCGGAATGTTGTACCTCGACCAGAGGGAAACCGGAGCCACTGTGTCCCTCGACAACGTATTCCGTGTTCCTGCCTCACCCTAGTGACAGTCGCTGGTTCTACCAATGTCTACAAGGCGTTCTTTACTGCAACAGGTGTCCCCCAGGTCACAAATGGAACACAGATGAAGACACGTGTGACAAATCCTGTCAGTGTCCGTGAGACGACACTCGCCATACGTTCAAGATAGGCTACTGGCTAATAAACGGTTTCACTTTGAAGTGCGTCAGTCTACTTTCGAGTTCATGAAAATCCCCCGCCCCCAATAAAACACGCTTTCCGGGTCAGATCATGCCAACGATACACAACATTTTAAGAGAGACATATGTTATCGGATGACTCAAACGAATGGGACACAAAAAACATTTGTAAACACAACATACACTACAATTAATTGCAATCCAAACATTTTCTTGTAATATACAAAGTATATTAACACCACTGCTTCTCTTATTTTAACACAGATGTTCATCGACCCTCTGAAGCCAAAGACCATGTAAATGACACGTAAGAATTCAGTCCGTACCGCGAAGAAAACACTACACTTCACCATTACAAAGATCGAATGGTTAACGCTGTTTAAGGAAATAATCGCTGTTTACTGTGAGAATCATAGTTCGTCTAAATTACATTTAAGAATTCAGTCCGTACCGCGAAGAAAACACTACACTTCACCATTACGAAGATCGAATGGTTAACGCTGTTTAAGGAAATAATTAACGTTTGTCATTACAAAAATATGAATCCCATGAATAAAAATAAGAGTTCCTGATGGTTGAAACAGGTGAGGCACATAGTATGCACGTGTACACACGTGCATACAAATTTTAACAGAGGCGTCAGGGTTGTCCGCGTTCCCAAACTTTCAATTTCTTTCGACCTCTGCATCTTGACATAGCCTAATTTCAGTTTTATGCTCATTTGTTGGCATCGTAATTTGACCCGAGGTGTGAATGTTATTATAAAGGACCACATTTAACCGTGTAATTAACCGGTCCTTGGAATTCGCCTGTGTAACATGACGTTCGATGCGAAATTATGTAACCAATATTAAATGTACAGATACGAGTACAAATGTAACAAGAGTTTCATAAACGCCTCGTATTCACACTGCCTGTTTGTTAATTTCACTGCCAGTATAATGATCTGCTGTTGGACCAACTGTACAGCATCATTGCCATTTTTAGGCCAAATTAATTTGAAGCAAGCATCAGTCTTTCTGAAGAACAGAGTTTTTTCTGAACGCCATTTGCTTTTAGGCCCCGATTTATGTCCGGATGTTCATCAAATACCAAATTGTAAAAGTAACAAAAATCTCCGATCTTTTAACACGCGAACATATATAGTAGATACTTTACCCGTATCTGTAATGTAAAAAAATAATATATGTGCGTAATTATTGCGTATTTTAGTTTTCTACGGCTCATTTATCAACTACGGAAACGCTTAGTTACAATTTTATAATGAAATTTTTCATCTAATTAAGCTCAAATTGTTGGGTAGTTTTCCAAAATTAATTTACAACATTCATTGCCAACTTAACTACACAATAAATTGTAATCTGAAGATAAATGATATAACTTGAATCTAGGCTTGAAAAAATACATTAGCTCAAGAATTATTATAAGAATAACACCCAAAATTTTAAATATTGCTGTCTTCTGGGTCATTGCGCCCTGTAGTCCGGTAGGTTTCCAGATCTACTAAACTACACGGTGTAATAACCCAGAGGACAGGAATCATCAGACTCACCGCTGTGATAACCTCAAATCCTACACAGCCAAAATTTTACCAAGATTTAATATGGTGAAGAATGTTATGAAAGAGAGACTATTGGTTAACTGAAAACAGAAGAAAATGTCTATTCTGGCAACCAAAGAAGTGCACAGAAGCAACATTTCCATTTCAATATCTGTGATCTCATTGTTGCTAAATTTAGTTGCCATTCTTGGTTGTTAACAACAATTGTTTGTACATTTTGGGGTTCAATTGTTGCCACTTTGTTAACCTGAATATGATTAATGTGCACAGGAAAATCTTGATACTTTATTATGTAGCATACAAACTAATAAATTGAACCAGAAGCTGATTTTGTATACTTTTAAAAGTGTAATGTAAACAATTTATTCTCTGTCTGGGCTTTTACGACTAAGGAATCAATTACTCCGCTCCTAGAACACGGCTACACATTAAGCATGTGTTAAAATGTGTTAATGCATTAATACCCACAATATCAACTAACGACAGGTTACGTGAATCTCAGCTTGTAAAAAGAGTGCAGATGTGGATCGAACCCAATAAAAATGCTAGTACAATTCTAGTTCTATCGCTGCACCGGTCTGCACTTCCAAGCCCAGCTTTCTTAAAATTCCTAATACTTGCTTGCTTACTAAATGGAGCCGAGTCCTTCCTCAGAAGCCAACAGTCACTCAGCCACTCCAAAAAATTCCCAATGGAACCCGAAGGTTCATTTCCGTGTTCACAAGAGCCCGCCACTGGTCCCTATCCTAAACCAGATGAATCCAGTTCATACCACCCCATCCTATTTCTCTAAGATACATTTTAATATTATCCTCCCACCTACGTCTAGGTCTTCCTACTGGTATCTTTCCTTCTGGTTTGCCCACCAGAACCCTGTATGCATTTCTCTTCTCTCTTCATGCGGGCTACATGCCCTGCCCATCTCATCCTCCTTGACCGTTTTCTATTAAAAATCATGTAATATTTCTCATTCATGTTACAATTCTCCAGTCTGGTAAAAAAGAAAGTCATTCACTGAAACAAAACTTTGGTTAGAAAATGTTGTATTCAACAGGTGCTGATACGAGGCACCTGTTCCAGCTAGGCCTTAGGCCAGACATAACCAATCATTATTTTATAGCACAGTCTTGTCTTACCTTGTTCAAGTCTTCGGTTGCCACCTCAAACCTTTCTCTGACTTCCCCTCTCTCGTGCACACGCAAGTATTATCATTGTAGTCGAATAATGTAGCAAAAACACTAACCAATGTCCACAAAGTTTGTAACAGCTACTAATTCTAAAATAACGCGCCATAATGGCGCAATATAGACTTGCAAACGACCTCTTTCTCCAGCATTATAGTTATTTTGCCCTAGTTTATTTGTTCACGAGCAGTCGTTTGTACCTGTATAATGAAACGTACTTCACGCACCAACTTACACTCACTCGGAGTCAAAATGAACACGCAAAACCTGCAAATATTTATACATTTTTACCCGATTTCATCACTCACACCGCAGAAGCCATAAGAGTCACACTCTATCAGAACTGCCTGCAACTAACACCACCCTCCCCTGAAACCCCTGGCGAAAAGTAATTCGCACACCGTAAACAGAGAGCGAGTAGCTGTTGTCAATGAAACGCAACTGAACTGAATCATGGCCGGCTGCCGCAATAATAGGTCTCGGACAAGCTAACCAAACTTTATCCAACGTTGAAACCGCTTCATATCAAAGAAGCCAAATGTTCATTTCTGTCTAAAAATATCTCCTCATATAATTCAATAATAAACGACCCATTCATGTGGTACGACGTCGTTAAATTTTTCTACAGGCAATCAATCCACAATATAAACATTACCTGAAAGACACTAAAAACTATTAGTGAGTGGCTGAAGGACACAATGTCATCACAAACCCGATACCAGAGAAGAGAACTTCGTCAAGGTTTCCGGCGTGGAACCGTGAGCCATTCTTTGTTTGTTTAAAACGTAGCAGATATATTGGGGAATGCAAATTCGCATGTCAGAGAAAGAAACTCATGTTACAAGGATGTTAATACAATTTGTCTGCTTAATGTTAAAAGGAAACATTCCTGTACCAACGTTCCGACCCTGGCCGCCCCTTGGGAAAGATAAACACCCTACATACAATGATGACGTAATCTACTGTTGCAGCTGGTGACAGTACGTTTCGAGAAGTCTTTCCAGGGACGCTCGATATAATAAATTGCAAAAAGTGCATCCATCAGCTTTGCCAGAACTGTTAGAATACTTCCTAATACAGGGCTAATCTGTTGTGTAATGCTGAGATTGTACTCAAATCTGTTAATCACATTACATTCCGAAAAATCTTGGTATAATATTTTTATATTAATTTAACGGTGTCTTTCACTGAA